AGCCCCAGCAGGTTGGGACACAGACAAGTACTGAGGTAGACAGTTCTGAAATGAACCCCAAGTTGTCCCCATGTGATTCTGTACTGGTGTGTGTGTGTGTCCACATGCTACCTCCAATGTTTGGGGGGCAATGCAATAGTCTACACATATGTTGCCAGTCTCCAGACACTACCTCTACAGGCCCTGGCTCTCTGTCTAGAGAATAGCCCCTGGGTACTGGTCTTTCCCACCCTCACCAGGTGGTCCAGCCTGATGAGCCACAGGAGGAGGAAAAGGCAGCAGGTCTAGAGAAGGCCCCCAGCTCCCCCTCCTCATGATGCAGCTGAGGCTCCCGCTGGCCACGGCCTTGACCCAGCACTATGGACTTCTCTGACATTGGCATCGGATCTGAACATCTGGCAGCAGGCTGATAAGGGGTGCAGCGGAAACAGCCTCCGCTGCTGCCAGCAGACCCGCCCCCTGCGCTGCCTGGAATGGGGTCTTCACAGCCAGTTCCTTCTGCCCCCAACTCCCTGGGCCCCTTGGCCTTTAGTCCATTCTCTGCTTCAATCTCTCTATCTCTCTCTCCCCTCCCTTTCTCTTCCTCCCTCCCTCTCCATTCTTGCACATTTCTTTCTCATCCCTCCTGAGGGTCTCTCATTCCTCTCCTCCACTATCTGTGGGTATTCCTTACCATCAGTAGGTTTCTGACCACCCCTCCCAGCCTCTTCCTAGCTGTTTCTCCCCACTGTCCCTCAGTCACAACTGTCCCGCTCCCCTCCCTTCCAGTGTCTGAATAACTGCTTTTTTTTTTTCTTTTCTTTTACCTCCAGGAAATAAGCCTGGCATTTCGGGAAAGTCCCTACTCAGGAGTGAGCCTCTAAGCTTTGTCTGCGTTGGGGTGGTAGCTCTGAATCCGGGCTGTGGCTCTGCTTCCTTGCAAGAGGTCTGGCCTGGACCCCCAGCATTGTAGCTGAGCTCACACAGGAACACACATGACATGTAGGCTATGCCTCAGTTCTCTGCTTTCCCACTGCTAAGCTGTCCGTGCTTCAGTAACTTTAGAGGGATGCCTCCTGACTGAGTCGTGAACGCTGCTCACTGGGGCGAAATAAAGATACTCTACCCCACTCCTAGGATGGTAGCAAGGGTTGGAGACTAAGCCTGGGTATGTAATAGTTCACAAGGACATAGTGCCATTCCCATGCTCACAACCCCGGCTCCTTCCTGCTCTGTCCAGTGGTGGAGCACCTCTTTGAGTGAGGGTTGATGGGCCAGAATAGGAGGCAGCCCTGAGAAAGTGGGTATATCATATCCAAGGTTGACTAGGGACCACCCAGCTTAAGTGTTAGTGACAGCTAGCACCTAGAGAGGAGCCAAGATAAGCCAGAGCCCTAGCCCCTTACACAAGCACATGGGGGCCTTCTGCAAAAACAAGCATTCAATAGTGCTGAGAACCTAAAGATAAATCAAGCCTTCACTGAGGGTTCCCCCTGGCAGAGGTGAGTCACCAGAAAGACAAGCAACGTTGTCAGTGATGTTGCAATGTCAGACTCAACAAGGAAAAGGTCTCTAAGGACAGACAGAGCAGCCAGGTCTTCCCTGGGTCGTGTGTGTGTGTGTGTGTGTGTGTGTGTGTGTGTGTGTGTGTGTGTGTGTTGCTGACACTTATTGAGCACACACAGCATACTAAGAGGACACTAGGCAAATTACAAGTTTCATACCCGTTATAAAGGGAAAACATGAGGCCCAGAGAGGGGCCATATTGACATGGAACCCAGAGTCTTTGCCGGCAGTGCTCAGATCTCAAGGACTTGTCAGGACACCACAGCTAAGCTGGCCGGTAATTTCCAAAGCACTATGGTGCTGAAAGACACCACTTACCCTGTTTAAGAAGGCAAGTTCTGCTGAGCATGGTGGCGCATGCCTTTAATCCCAGCACTCAAGAGGCAGGTGGATCTTTGTGTCTTCCAGGCCAATCTGGTCTACTTGGAGAGTTCCAGCCAGCCAGGGTTACATAGTAAGATCTTGTCTCAAAAATAATAAATATGCAAAAATACAAATTTTTTTTAAAAAGAAGGCAAGCTAGGCACTTCTAAAGTTTGAACCCCTGCCCCCCCCACACACACATACCAGGAGATGTAGAACCTACTTTTTGAAGTCTTTCATCTAAAGGGGCAAAAAGCCAAGATTTTGTTGTGGCATGTATGTGACAAGTTGGTGAAATGATATTTTCTAACCTATGTCTTTACTAAACTCAGAGGACAAGCAGCATGGATTCAAAATGAGAATATTGGCAGGAAGGTCAGGAAAAAAGAGTCAGGCATGGTAGCTTCACCTGTAATTCCAGCACTCCGGGCTGGTGCAGAATTGCTGCCAGGAGAATAGCCTGGACGACAGAGCGGTGGCCCAGAGCAAACAGAAAACAAGGGTTGTGCAGGCAGTGAAGCCTCATGCTCCATTAATAAGGTTCCCTGACAGAAGAGGCCATCCTAAACTCACTGCCTCAGTTGGTCTGCTGGGCTACCCTCTCCTCTCACACAGCATTCTAAAGGAAGCATATCCCCAGATTTGCTGATGCATCTGGGGCCACCAGACGCTGCAGAAATACTAAAAACATTACCTCAGAAATACAGAAGGAAACCTATATCTCAAGAAGAAATGGACTTTATCCAGCGTGGAGGTCCAGAATGATCGCTGTAGCTGCTGTTTGTCACCAGACAAAAAGATTATCTCTACAATAAAGGATTTCCAAAATGTCAAATGAAAATTGTATATTAAACAACCTTAATAAATATTCTACAAAAATAATGAAATATAAAAACTCCAGATGGCCACTTGTATCTCCTCAATGTGTCTTGGTCAGCTTCTCTAACAAGCTGGACTGCATACCTATTAAAGTCACATTTTTACATATTAGCCTGTTAACTTACTCTTGGTTATGAAGTGTTACCAGTGATGAGCTATTAAAAGCACACAGTATCTAGTGAACAATCAAATTTTCTCTTTTCTGTTTGTTTAGACATAAAGATGATTTATGAAGCACCAAAAATAAGTAAATCAGAAAAACAAAATGTTTAAATGAAACAAAAGTAGTAAAGTGAAACAAGGAACTGAGAGATAACAAAAACAAAGCGAAGGAGTCTGGATAAGTACTAGCTCTAGACAGGAAAAATGTAACTTTCTAGGTTAAAAGGCATGATGGAGGGGGGGAGTTGTATGTAATGGTACTGACATAATTAAAACTTATTCAAATGTTCTGATGAACAGTAAGATTCACGGCTGAACTCACTGTTTTAAACCTGAAGCAGGGTGCAGTAGCACAGGCTTATCCTCCCAGCACTCCCAAGGGAGTGGCTGGAAAGTTTGAGACCAGCCACAGCTACATAATGAGACACTGTCTCAAAGAAAAAAAAAAAAAAAAAAAAAAAAAAGCAAAGAACTAAATGGTAACATAAGGAAAAGACACTCTAGATTTTAAATCCAATTGGCTCAGTTATCTAGAAACGTCCCTGTCATCCAGAGCTACATAAATGAGAAGTTTCGGGTGACTTGCCTGTTTCTTCAAGTGGAGTGGGAGTTCTCTCTCCCTACTTGGTGGCCCTGTGCCCTAAGCAACTCCCCAGAACAAATGGTTGCAAATCCTCTTGGGACAGACTCCCTGTTCTTCACCACAGCATCCCCTAGTGCCCAGAACAGTGCTTGGCTCACAAAGCACACAGTTTATTGGAGATGAAAAAGGAATGAACAGAGAGGTATGGGATAGAGGACCATGCAGGACTCAGCAATCTGGACCCAAAAGGATCAGGCCAGTCCAGGACTTGTTTGGAATTGAAGAAAGTGTACAGGGATATCCAAAGCAAAACAGGGAAGACATAAAAAAAAAAAAAGCCTTCTAGATTAAAAAATACCTCCTTTCCTACCGGCCCGAGTACCCACATAGCCCAGTCTGGAGTCCCTGTAACCACACCCCTAGCCCAGCAGTCTTGGTATGGCCTCAGAACACATCTGCAGCTCCCAATACATAGTGATATTCAGAGAAGCCATAATCAAAAGCCACATGAGCCCCACCTGACCGGATTCCACTATGCCATTCCTCCCCATCAGCCATTCTGACTCCACACTCAGATCTGAGACAAGCTGGACCAAGTAGTGTCCAGGTCAACACCCAGGGAGGAAGTCATTCAAGAGGAGAGACTTGCAGCCTTGTGAGGGAGCAGCCCGTAAATCAGGTCCCACTCCCACCCAGTCGCTAACAAGCGGCTGCCTACCCGCCTACATGGGGTCCCTGCCTCAGGCTCCCACAGTGGCCTGGACAACCAGCTGGCCAAGGCCTCCCTAGTGCCTTGGCCTCTGCCCCCGCCCAGGGCCCCCAGAAAGATAGGGGTATTTTTTTTTCTTTTAGGAGAGTGAAAAAGATATAGACCTAAATGAAGAGAAACACCAACAAAGGAGGAGAGAGGCCTGCAGAGTCACGTGGGGGCAGAGACCAATTGGGCCTCCGGTGGCCCCCCCACACACACACGGGGAGGAGAAGAGGACTATCGGACAGGGCCAGTTTGCTGTCCGCCCGCTACCCGCCTGCTGCTGGGTGAAGAAGTTCCTGACAGTCTGCTCACCACTGCCCTACCTGGGCCCTGGGAGCTTCTCCACCAGGACCCTGGTGCCCAGTGTCCATCCTCATCCGGCTGAGAGTTCTCCTTCCGCTCAGTAAGTGAGGGCCAGGGCCCAGGCCTCTAATGGCCAGCCTCCCTTCTCAGCACCTTCTCACTCGGGCCTGGACTAGCCACTGCCTGTTCTATGAAAGGACCAGTGCCCACCACTCTGGACAGGGAAAAGCCAGGGGTCTCCCCAGATCCATTTCCTTATTACAATACTCCTCATCTTCCCTAGGCTTTATTAGGAGGAGCTAGGCCTACGGCGACAGAGCTAGTGGACTCTGAGGGTGGCCCGCGGTGTCTTAGAGGTGTGTTCCTGTGGGTGTGGTGTTCTGTGACTGTCCTGAGGGTCTCGGGTTTATCTTCCAGTCTTGGCATCTTGCTGCCTGAGTGTCTGGGTTGCCTCTATGAAGGTATCTGAGACTCTATATATGTATGTCTGTGTTTCTGCTGTCAGTCTGGGCCAGTGTCTACTTTGCTTCCTTGGGTAGATGGATGAAGGTCTGTAAGTCATTGTAGGGGTATATGGGGTGAATTTGGGGTTCAGTGGAACCATGGCTTTCAACCTGTGGAGCCCTGGAGGAAAGGGCTAAGGTAGAGGCAGAAAGATAGGGAGGCTTCTTGCCCATCCCCCATCCCACCAGGGTTTTAGCCCAGAGGAGTGCCCACACAGTACAAGAGGCCTCTAGTGGGCTCTACCCTGGAGGTGCCTATTCAGGAGCCCAACCCCCCATTCCTTCACTCGCCGCTGCCTACTGGCCTCTGTGGCTTGGTGTATCTTGGGGCTTTTGTTTGTGTTTGTGTTTGTGTGTTTGCTTTGCTAGAAATGAACGCAGAGCCTTACATTGGGTGTGGTCCTGCCACCGAACCCCATTTCCTCCCCAGTTTCACTTTCTAAGGGTTCCTGTCTGAAGGGGATTTGTTCATAAACCCGTATAGCCCCCATCCCTGGTTCTACAACACAGGCTGTAGGTTCTCGGGTGTGAGGACAGGGCCTGACAGCCTCTGGCTCTCTCTTCTTCCAAGATTCATTCACACAGTTTTACCCAGGAACCCTGGTCTGTAGGACCGGATTTTTTCCCAAGCAGGGAAGTGACTTGCCTGAGCTAGGACAGGACAGCCAAGTCGGTCAGATTCCGTGCCTCCCTCCACCGGCTGAACGACTCTGGTTGCTACAGCGGGTCTTCAGTTTTGTTCGAGCACCCTAGTTCAGCAGCCACAGAAGCCTGAGCCACCGGGTGAGATCCACACAGAGTTTTGGACCGGTGGGGCTATGCCAAGGCATAACTTCTGTGCCTCCCCACTGCGGCTTTCTGGTGTTCATGTCCAGCCCCCAGCACTGTCTTCCACCCTTGGTAGTCAAGCCGGCTGGGTGGGATTGATCAGGCCTCTTCAAGCTCTCTCGGCCTCAGTTAACTAACTTGAAAAGCCGTGTGGTCTGGTGGATCTACCGCTCTACCATCTCACCTACGGACTGCCGGGAGCTCCTCCTCCCCCTAGTTAGAAGAGAGCTCACAGGGGCACAGGGGTGCAGCTCCCTGCCTCTGCTTTTAGGTCTCTGCGCCCTTGGAGCTCAGGCTGCTTACCAGACCTGGGGATGTTGCAGAGTGGGATGACTATGTTTCCCATTTCCAGAAGAGCATCCTGAGGGAGACTCGCAGATATGGGGTTCACCCCAACTCTCATTACCCACTCCACCGCAACACTCGTCCATCCTCAGCCACCCTCTGGGAGCACCTGATTTCGGATTAAGAAACAGAGTCTGAGTGGGTGCTTGCAGCCTGAGTAAGCAAATGTGGCAGTGTCAACTAGAAAGCTTACTTTCTACCTTGGCCTCGTGACTTACCCACGTCCCCTTAGCCACTTCCACACAAAACACACTTCCACCACAAAACGACCAGCGTTCCCATCTTGGCCCCGATCACCCCTAAACTGGACTAGCAAATGGGAGTTCGCCTTCTCTCTGCGTAGGCTATGGCCTGAAGCTTCCCGGCGCACGACGCCTGACTGGACTCCGGGGTGTTCGGGGTCCCTAATTCCCTTAGAGTCGCGGGCTTCGGAGGACCAAGCTGGGGTTGGAGGGCCGGGAGGTGAGAGTGAAGGCCAAGCCGATCTGTGGGGAGGACGCGGACCGCGCCTCCGCCCCCGGATCCCGCACGCGCGCTTATAGAGCGGCCACCCCGGCCCCGAGCGGCGGGTTCGCGCAGCGCGCAGTGCGGTGGAGGG